GGGTGGTGAGGTCCATGGGAGGAAGCCTACGTCAACTTTCCAAATTCAGCGTGAAGGGCAGTTGGCAAGCCTGAATGCGTCACCCGGAAACCCAGCTAGACAGGAAACCCGGCATCACCCATTGTCGCAGCTCAAACCCGAATTCTGGGAGTGTACATTGCACCGCTGAGCGGGTCGAGTTTTAGTAGTTACCCGTCGAAAGTTACCGTACCCACCCAAAAAAACAAATCAATTCAGCACCAAACGCACAGCTCCCAGCAAACAGGGCGCAAAAATAGGCAGGAGGGGAGGATCCGCCTTTACAGCTAGTACTAAAACTCGACGTCCATTTGTTGGTTTAGATTCAGGATACGGGTTTGAATCCAGGATGCGGAACTCACTTTTGTTGGTTTCGATTCAGGATGCGAGATACGTATTCGCGCACAAGCACCGGATCCCTCCTCTACGTGAAATTTCTGCACACTGCATACAATTTTTGCATGAGTTTTCCTGCTAAGCATCACAAACCCATAAATCCCTCTCGTTCCCACCCCCCCTCCAGGGTGCCCCTATCCACAACCTCTGGCGTCATTTTCAGTTCCTTCCTACAAGTGTCATAGTCTCTTTTTTCCGAGAACTCCATTCTCCCTCTCATCCGTTACGTCCTTCCAACAGCCCTCCTCTCCTCACTTACTTTTATTCCTATTCCGCCACCTCGGGGTAGAAGCGGGGCAGGGAGAGGGGAGGGGAGGGGGGAGGGGAGAGGGTGCACCACAGTCAGTGCAGTTCGCTCCCCGACCGGTCTAAGCTGAGGCGAGTTTTAGCTGCTATTGTCTGTGGACAGGAGCAACCAGCGCCGAAAAATCTCGTCCGGAGGAGCTGGGAATACCGCCAGTCCGGTAGTTCCAGAAAAACTCTTCGCGTTTCTGTGAAAAATTACCAGCCGGAAAACATGCAGGCGACCAAAGCATGGGTGGGTCCAGGACGGCCTTCTGAGGGTGAAGACGAGTGGGGCTTCTTGGGGAGGGGGCGCGGAAGAGAGTTTTCCTCAGTTTTAGCTTTAGACCCAGACTTTTGTACCACTGGTACCTGTGCCGCTGGAGGGAAGAAGGGGGAGGGGAGAAAGGCGTATGGGCCAAGGGGCTACAGTCACGAAAACTCTCCCCCAGGAAAACCGCCACCTGAACCGGCGGTAGCTTGAGTGCCAGTGACCGCCAGATAGCCACTGGAAAGGGTCAATTGCGTAGACACTGCCGCGGGGAAGCGCCGTGACCCGCCGAGGCAATACGGGGAGGGCAACCCGAATGGATTGGCACGCTGCCAGAGTGCCACATGTGCATGTGCACTGTTGTGGGCGTAACCTCCAACAGAGGTCAGTTGTGGTGGACAAGCAGGTATCCGCAGTGCTGTTGGTGGTGATGTGTGTTCCGGACTCGCGTTCGTGGCTCTGGAAGGGAATCGATTGGTGCTCGACCAAACTCACCACACCTGTGCCCTTTACGGTCCAATTTCGCACCTCGCCGATGTTTCCTGCGCTCGTCCAAGGCAAGGTAACATTTTCTGGAACAGTATACAAATGCACATTAACAACCAAGCCCGGTACTGCAGTCCGGAGGGTCAGGGGGTCGGCTGAAGTTTCCAGGATGGACGTTTCGTCTTCCAGTCGAAAAAGGACAAAAAATTATCGACGATTTCGAAAATATTCCATGACGGACAATAAAGGTCGATTTTTCAGCGGAGCTGCTTGTTTACTTGCTGACTGGGAAGGCAGTTGGGTCTTCAAAATGAAAGCAGAAAAAATCTATGCAGTGGACGAACGATTTGATGTGAACTCTGTGGATGTCTAGAAAAAGAAAAAAAAAAGAATCTAGACTGTCCAACAGACATAAAATCTTCAGTTACGAATGACCGAAGGAGATGTAGGACGTAGTGCAGTTATATTGCCGATGCTTTTAACTCCATGCCTTGAAGTGTACTTCATAAATTTGGTTGAAAAGATGGTGTGAACATTGAAATAACAGTCAACTAAATCAATTACGCTTCGTGGATGATGCTGGCAGCGCTCACGAAACGAATGAAACGTTGCGGGAAATTAGTGTACGAACTAAGGAAGAAGGCCTGAAAATCAGTGCATCGAAAACTGATGATGAAGCAAGCTGCTCGTACGTCTAGGGCTAAATAGCTGGGGTTGACCCTTTAAATTCCATTTTTTAAGTGCATATACGAGCGAGATTGCCCGTTGGGAAATCCCTGGGTGTAGGTGAGCTTGAAAACTGCTTTCTCGACAGCTCAACGCTTAGCCGTAAGCTGTTCTTTTTCAAGCCACGCAGTGCTGGCTTGTGCAAACAAATGACGAAGCCAAGTTGCAAGGGTACGCCGTTACTTCACAATTTCGCATGTTCAGAATAACCCAGACTGGGGCGCACCAGGCTTGTCGATGCGAATATGCGTTTTTGCACCAAACTTGAAGTAATCAGGTCGTTAGCTATATGAGTGGTTGCTGCTTTATACCTACCTTGTGCGCTCACTACTGTAAATCATTGTCAATTTTGCATAAATAAAAATAAACTTTTTTCATCCAGCGGTCCTTCGTCAAAAAATCCAAATATGTAAATGAACAGGATATTGGAAAAGGATGAGGACGGTCGTCGCTGCAAAATGCACTTGTTTCTGAGCCTGTGGTAAAGTTGAGTATTTTTCATACCCACCTGCAGGGAATTTCACTTCCAGGCAGAATTAAGGCCGCACTTGAAAGTAGAATAACCCAGCGAAGTTTCAGCCTCGCACATTGTCTGGTAAGTGAAGTAGCTACTTTGCTACAAATATCTTTGAAGTGCCATAAGTCGTGGCGCAAGTGCAAGGCGGAACTCATTTTAAGTGTACCATTTCCCAAATGGACGATAAATATTCCGACAAAATTTAAGCCACTGTTTCCCCGCTAGTTTTCGAGTTAGCACAGTTCCAGGTGTAAACTTTGACATGACCGTACGTGCCGCGCAAGCGTACACAATGGCTGAATTTGAAATCCTTAGCTCACACAAGCATATAGAATATCCCTGCAAAATTTCAACTTTCTATCTTGCCTAATTCCCAAAACTGTTTCTCGCCAAAGAAATTTGCATATTTCTCTAGGGGGTCCGTACGCGAGATCTAGACGCATATGGGGGAAGATCTTAAAACAGGAGGGTGACACACGAGACGGGAATATGTCCCCAAAATTTCAGCCTTCCAGCTTTCCTGGTTGATGAGTTTAAAGTGAGTGACAAGGTTCACTGGCTTCAGAACACAAACACACAGATGATCTCTCGACAATGTGCGCTTTTGCTCGCTGTAGCAGCGCTGTAGCGCTGCATAGCAAAAACGCATAAAAACCATGGATTTTTTCATGGGGGTTTTTTTTTGACTGGGGGTTTTTCTTTCTGAAATGTAGCCGAGAAATTATAAACACCTTGAAATTTCATTTCTTATGGCAGCGAAAAGTAAGGTAAACTTATGCCAATACGTCACAAACGCACATATGATGGAACGAATTCTTGCAATTACACGGGTCTACCAAATCATTTATAATTTTTAGGGGGTCTCACGCTGGTTCTACATTTGTTCCAGATTTCAGAGAGCAAGTTTTGTTATTTCCAAGCTTTAGTACTAGGAGTAGGAGTTTTCAAAAAAGTGAAGTTTTTGTTGAAAATTTTTCGCACTGAGTTTTCATAACACTTTGATTTTTCAGGGTAGAAGACGGGCAAAACGGGTCACTGAGTGGCATCCATACGAAATTAAATG